TATATATATATATATATTGTTACGCCTCTGTTCGTTAGTTAATTTTTGGTAAAAATTCTTTCCGAAGAAACTTTACCGATACAAGTCCTTTCTTCAATAAAACTGGTTTATTCTTTCTGAATACAACTTTGCGATACACTTAATTTCAACAGTCGCGCTATAACAAACACTATAATTCACAACAAACGTCTCACGTGCTCAACTCAACAATACTCTATCCGCAGTTCAATTACACATTGTTCCCGTCGCTTCTTGGCCTGTCTTATATATACAAGACTACCCCATATCTAGTAGTCTCCTGGTGCTTCATGAACGTTCTAGAAGAGCGTGGCATTTTACTAGCGTCACGTGACCTCCGCTGTCGTAACACTGCCCCTTCCTTAGTATTGTTCGTCCCGAACGATAGCCACTTACATTAAACCAATAAACAATAACTTAATTAAATTTACAGAATCTACAAACACAAAATTACAATTCAACAAAGTCTCTTAATTTTACGGGACATATCTTCTTCCGTACTGGCCTCCGTCTCGTTGGCTTCTTCTTCATGTGGGGTTCATCTGCTTCATCGGGAAATGTCCTATCATCGGTAACAGTCACATCAGTGGTAGTAACTTTATCAAGGGCTTCACTGTTTCCCTTTTCAAAACTGAGTAGAGTTTCTTCATTAACAGTGGCTTCTTCAGGTGCACGTCTTCAGCAGCGTCATTTTTTCTGTTGTTCACTTTGTTCCAACTGAAATGTCCTAGACTGTGATAACGTCAAAGCCTGATGGCATGCACCACTTTCGGCTTACCTCGCCGACCACATTTTATCCGGAAAGTCAAGTCTGAGAGACGATCCACTATGTCATATGGGCCTTCCCATCGAGAAGACAACTTAGGAGAGTTCCCTTTGGTCTTCCTGGGATTATACAACCACACTTTGTCTCCTGGTACAAAGCTGACTTCAGTAGATCTCTTATCATAAGTTAACTTCATCAAATCAGCAGAAGTTTTCAAGTTTGAATGCACTTGATGGTGAATATCATCCATCCTTTCAGATAACACTTTCACAAATTCTGACACATTTTCAGGCAACTCTTCT